CCCTTGTCGCAGGTTCAAAGCTCCCTCTTACCGCTTGGTGCTTGCAGAGAAGAATACTCCGCAGCCCCATCAGAGCGGTCGCCTGCCTCCACCGCTCCACCCTTGACTTGCTGCCCTGCACGAGCTCGATCAAAAACGCCATGTCCTCCGGAACTCCACTGGGCTCCGATGACGACGCCCTCTCGAGAGCAGACAGCGCTGCTTCCGTGCTCGGTGGTCCGAAATCCCTGCGGCGGGGAGTAAGTTGGTTCGGGGGGGGGGGGTGAGAACTGTGTAAGAGGTTTCATCATCAAAACCCCATTAACCCAGCAAAAAAGAAAGGCGTCGTGCGTGTTGCAATAGGCGACAGAAGCATACCAGATTTTTGTGGGGTGCAGGATCCTAATCGAAGTATTTTACAATATATAAGCCCTCGAGTTGTTCGCTGCCAAGTTTCTCAGTGAAGGCACGATCTGTACCACACCACCTTGGTGTCGAAACGAACCCAAGGTCCTTCCTCCCCGAGACAGAAAAACTTTCCCGCGCCAAATACGAAGTCCAGATGGACCCATGAACAGTAATACAGGTCCTTTGATAGCACCGACTCCGCAATTATTGCTGGGTCCCGAAATCTTTGGTGCGGTAATAATCTCTTGCCGCTATATCGCACTATTGGGGGACCTGAGTGTACTCCTCTCGCTGTCTTGCCGCTATATCGCACTATTGGGTGACCCTGGCTGCTCTACTCCCTCCTCCTCCTCTTCTCTTGCCGCTAATTGGGTGACCCTGACTGTCCTGCTCCTTCCGTCCTCACCGTATCACGTGGTACAGAGTGTCGTGCATTCGAAGCGCCCTGAACTGCCTGCAGACAGCCTGGCTGGAACCCAGCAGCAGCGCCAGAGTCCCGCACAGCAACCCCGTGGCCCGAGACACCAAGGACAGGGCCCCCGTCTCCTCCACCCGCACCTTCCACCCGGCCTCGCTTCCACTCCCACGGGCGCTCCCGCTTGCCGCAAGCCCGGGAGGGGGCGCGGCCAGCCCCTCGGGGCGGCTCATCGCCCGCCACAGCCCCGCGGCGCCGGGGCAGCCACCGACGTTGAGCGTGAGGACGCGCTTGAGGAGGGGCTGCAGCACCTGGTCCAGGATGCCGGTCGCCTGGAACATGGCCGTGTACTTGGTCTCGTCGAACTCGAGGAGCTTCTCGAGCATGCGCCGCATCATGTCCGCGTCCTCGAGGAGGAGAAGCGCCTTCTCCAGCGCCGCGGCCACTTTGGGGTCCTCCTCCTCGTCCCCCAAGTCCTGGCCGCGCAGGCCGCTGCCGCCGTCGTCTCCCCCGCCAAAGGACACCCGCTCGGCGACCCTCGCTTCCCCGTCCGCCGCCGTGGCGGAGCCGCCGGTGGAGCCGAGGCCGCCGCCGCCGCCGCCGCCGCCGCTCAGAGAGTCGACACCTACGAGGGAGATCTTGCGACCCACGCCGGGGCAGCTCAGCGGGTCGCTCAGGAGACCCATCATGTGGTCGAGGCACACCGTGAACGCCGTGGAGGTTGAGTGGAGGGCGTCTCTTGGGTGCACGTCCTTGAGAGAATGGAACGGTCGTGGTGTCGTTGCAGGTGAGACAAAGAGAGCAGGGTCCAGGAGGGATGTCATGGGTGTGTGTGTGTTGTCGGAAGGAGAAGCGGAAAAATATATACAACGAAAACAACCCACACACATACATGTACCAGAGGCATAAAAAAAAAACTGACAAAACTGGGCCAATCACCGACGCCCGCGAACGACGACATCGCAACCACCACAACCGTACCCGTACCTTGAAGCTGAATAACACAAACTACTTCCGGTAGGGGGGAGGGTTGCCATGAACGTGTGTTCTCGGAAAGAGAAGCGGTCGAGTGCAACGAAAATAACACTTACACATATGTACCAGATACATAAAAAAAAGGGGGGCCAATCACCGACGCGCGCGAACGACGAGGACACAACCACCCTATGCGTACCTTAAAGCTAACGCAAATGACTTCGAGGGTCTTGAGGGCGAGGCCCTTGAGGTCCCGGTTCTCGTAGTACGGCAGGGCGCACAGGAAGAACGAGAGGGCGTGAAACTTGGTCTCGAGCTCGTGGTAGTTGAGCGGGTGGTTGCTGTACAGACCGAGCACGGCCTCCAGCAGCCGGAGTCGGAACTCGTCCATGTGCTCCACGTCCGCCGCCATCTCCCCGGCCCCGACCGAGACCCTGGCGAACTCCCGGTCCTTCCTCCTCCCCCTCCTCCTGCCGCTGCCCGCTCTCGCCTCCCGCCCCTCGCTGCCGCTGTCCCCTTCCCCCTCGGACAGGTAGCTGCTGCTGCTGCCCCCCACTCCGCTGTCGTCGTCCTCCTCGTCCCCCGACGACGACGCGATCGAAAGCACCGCCGAGGGGAACCCCTCCGAGTCCTCCGGGAACACGCCGTGCTCCCGCCCCCACCGGTCCAGCCGCATCGCCACCGCTCGCTCGGCGACCATGACGACCGCGTCCTCCGTGTCAAGGCCCTGGTCCGCCAGCCCGTGCCCCCCCGACAGGCAGGAGACTTCGCACGTGCCGCTGGAAACCCGTCCGCCGATCCCCTGAGGAGATGGCAAGCGTAGTCAGCAGGTCCGCGAGAGGAGCAGGTGTAAATATCGGGTCCAAGGCGTCCACTACTTAGTGGCATGGGGGGTCTATTCGACAGAACGGAAGCAGAGACAAAAGTCGAGCAGATATAAAAGGCGCGCCGCCACTCTAGATCCTCTTAGCTCCAGTGTTGCACTAGGCCCGTTCCCTGCGTTCTCTGTGGGTTAACCCAATATCGAAATATCGTAAAGGCTCTAGTCCAGGATTATTAACTGAGCGCCTGCTCTTCTTATATGGCCAAGTGATTGAAAATCCATCTCTTCTTGAGCCTGAACATACTTGGCTCCCAGGTTCTTAGGTGGGAAGGCGAAGTACGCACGAAGTAAACAACGGGGATACGACACCAGCGAGCCCCTACCCTTCCCCCCCAAGCACTTCAACTCCCTAAGGTTTCCCCGACCCATGAGTATCCCAAAGTACAACATCCAGGCAACGCGTCTTACACATCTCCTCGCTGCTCATGTGTCTGACTTAGACGCAGGCAGAGGGGTGCGCAAGCACACAGTACCAGCGTCAAGGGTAACGTGGGGAGTAGGAAAATAGGGACGCGTCACTACGAGAGCACACACGCCGTCTCCCCGCAGGGGATGCAATCACCGCCCATCCATCGGCCAAGCCAAAAAATGGAGTCGACGCCGCGGCTCTTTGTCGCCAAGCCAAAAAATTGAGTTGACTTGACTCATGACATCACTAAAGAACGATGTCGTGTGTAACATCGACATGTTGTGCATTATCCCCCGAAGACCACACGTACGTACCGCTGCGTGGGTATTTCTTCCTCCTCGGGTGCGGCACAACACTTTTTTACCACCGCTCTTTCAACGCAATGGAATGGAATACACCAAGCCTTGCTTTCTCTTGAGCGGTGTAGTAAAAACTGCTCTACTAAAAGGAAATTGACAATTGACTACCGTCAAGCCTTGCTTTCGTCGAGACAACCGCAAGCACGCACCTGCAAGCAGACCGCTTCCACCGGTGGGGTGCACTCCGCCAGCAGAGACTGAATGATGCCAAACGCGGCGGAATTGCTGGCCATCAGGTCCGACCGCTCCACCCGCCCCCCCGGCGTCTCCAGCCGCTCCATGCCTCCCGCCGACGTCGCGGACACCAACAAACAAACCTTGCCGATCGCGCCCCAAGGCAACGTTTAGAAAAACCGTCGTGCACATATCGATCGCGGTGTGAGTTGCGGGGAGCAGGGAACATTGAGGAGCAAAAGTGGACCAAGCACATGGCCGTCAGAGTCAGCTATATGGTATGTGCGGTAAGGGGTCCCGCCGGAGAGGTCTCGAAAGGAACGCCGGGTAACTAAATGTCTCACACGAACAACGCTTGAAACATACCCCCCCCCCCCTTCGAGAACGTCGACGAAGACATAGGAAGGTAGACGACGAAGACGACAAGTTCAAATGTGATTGCGGCTTCGAATGCGAAGACCGTTTTCATGTAGTCGCGGAATGTCCGTGGTACGAAGAGGAGAGGGAAGTGTACATGACTGAGCTGGGAAAAATACAAGGGACGTACAGGGAGATGTTTGAGGCATGGAATAGAGAGGAGAGGACGGTAGCTGTACTGGGGAGCAGGAAGTGGTTTGAAAAGGCGGGAAGGGATATCGTTAGGATAGACAGACTAGGGAAGACATTTTTGAGCCACCTTTGGCAAAGTAGGAAGGAACGATTGGCCATCGGTGAGCGGTCCTGTGGGAACAATGCTCCGTCCTCTCGAGGACGCGTGGTCAAT